GGCCACACGACCAGAACGAGGGGACGCTTGTTGCGTGTCAGAGGTACTTTTGCAGCCAAGGTAAGCACCGGGCTGGGCGATTTGCCTGTGCGGTGCGCACTCGAATGGACGGGCAGGTGAATAACGTCAGGTCTGGACAGTACAAGGAGTGAGTTCCACAATAAAATGAGGTCCTTTGACTGTTTGAGGCGTGTTTATTCCTGCTAGGCGCTAGTGAAGCCTGGCTGGACTGTTCAATATCTGACGTAGTCATTTGGAATCTACTTGAATCGTCGCCACCAAAAACGAGGGCGTTTTAAGCAGCGGCACAGTTCGCACTAAGCTGGCACCATTCGTTTTGCCTCGAGCTTTCCTTACATGCCAGAATGGCTCTAATTCTAGCCCTGACCCCAAACCCAATCGGAGGCGAGGATATTCTGGCCGTCCTGGATGGAGTCTGAGTCGTGCCAGGACACTACTTGACGGAAACGAAACTCTTGACATTTTTCATCCGCCACCCGAACGCAAAACATCGGCACGGAGAAGGACGCTGGTGACGGCTGTTGTCGCGCCCACACCGCCGCCGTGACCCGGCCGGGGACGCTGGTGACACGGCTGTTGTCCGCCGTAACCCGGCCGGGACGCTGGTGACACGGCTGTTGTCCCGCCGACACCGCCGCCGTAACCCGGCCGGGACGCTGGTGACACGGCTGTTGTCCCGCCGTAACCCGGCCGGGACGCTGGTGACACGGCTGTTGTCCCGCCGACGCCGCCGCCGTAACCCGGCCGGGACGCTGGTGACAGGCTGTTGTCCCGCCGACGCCGCCGCCGTAACCCGGCCGGGACGCTGGTGACACGGCTGTTGTCCCGCCGACATCGCCGCCGTAACCCGGCCGGGACGCTGGGTCACGGCTGTTGTCCCGCCGTGACCCGGCCGGGACGCTGGGTCACGGCTGTTGTCCCGCCGACGCCGCCGCCGTAACCCGGCCGGGACGCTGGGTCACGGCTGTTGCCCGCCGACGCCGCCGCCGTAACCCGGCCGGACGCTGGGGACACGGCTGTTGTCCCGCCGTAACCCGGCCGGGACGCTGGGTCACGGCTGTTGTCCCGCCGACGCCGCCGCCGTAACCCGGCCGGGGACGCTGCCCGCAGGTTCGTCGACGTAGGTGGCCAGCGGTCGCAGCGGCAGAAGTGGTTCATGTGCTTCGAGAACGTCACGTCCATCCTGTTCCTGGTGTCGTCCTGCGAGTACGACCAGGTGCTGATGGAGGACAGGTGAGCGGAGGGGACCAGGTGCTGATGGAGACAGATGAGCGGGGCGGACCAGGTGCTGATGGAGGGGAGGTGGGCGGAGAGGACCAGTGCTGATGGAGGACAGATGAGCGGGGCGGACCAGGTGCTGATGAGGACAGGTGAGCGGAGAGGACCAGGTGCTGATGGAGGACGGTGAGCGGAGGGGACCAGGTGCTGATGGAGGACAGATGAGCGGGGCGGACCAGGTGCTGATGGAGGACAGGTGGGCGGAGGGGACCAGGTGCTGGTGGAGGACAGATGAGCGGGGCGGACCAGGTGTGATGGAGGACAGGTGAGCGGAGAGGACCAGGTGCTGATGGAGGACAGATGAGCGGGGCGGACCAGGTGCTGATGGAGGGAGGTGGCGGAGAGGACCAGGTGCTGATGGAGGACAGGTGAGCGGGCGGACCAGGTGCTGATGGAGGAGAGGTGGCGGAGAGGACCAGGTGCTGATGGAGGAGAGGTGGGCGGAGCGGACCAGGTGCTGATGGAGGACAGATGAGGGGCGGACCAGGTGCTGATGGAGGACAGTGAGCGGAGGAGAGGACCAGGTGCTGATGGAGGACAGATGAGCGGGGCGGACCAGGTGCTGATGGAGGGAGGTGGGCGGAGAGGACCAGGTGCTGATGATGGAGGACAGGTGAGCGGAGCGGACCAGGTGCTGATGGAGGAGAGGTGGGCGGAGGAACCAGGTGCTGATGGAGGAGAGTGGGCGGAGGGACCAGGTGCTGATGGAGGACAGATGAGCGGGGCGGACCAGGTGCTGATGGAGGACAGGTGAGCGGGCGGACCAGGTGCTGATGGAGGACAGGTGAGCGGGGCGGACCAGGTGCTGATGGAGGACAGGTGAGCGTGAGCGAGAGGACCAGGTGCTGATGGAGGACAGGTGAGCGGAGCGGCTCCTGTGGGCGGACGTCCCGTGGTGAGCGGCCGATCGGCTCAGAGGCCTTTTCGGTACGCTGGCTGTAGTCAGACAGGGTCGCTTCGATTGCGGTGTTCATATAGTCGGACCGAGTAAATGGTCACGCTGGATGTAGCAGGCTGCAAAGTAAGGCAGGCTCGCTGGTCCGCCGTGGCCGGCAGCGGTTACCGGCGCTCGACGCCAGGGTCCCACCAGATGATCTGGCCTGAGGGGGCAGCGTGGGGCGTCTGTGGGCCAAATCCACGATTTGGAGCGCCAGCCGTCTGTGCCTGTACGCTCGTCATCACCGCCAGCGGTCAACGCTAGGTGACAAAGGGAGCGCCGCCGACCTCGCCACGTACCGCACTCCTGGTGGCATTATCATAATTTGGCAGGTGGGGCCCGCCAGCAGGCTTTTGTTGAGTTTTGTTTTCTTGAGCGGGGGGAGGGGGCGGGGCGGCCTGTGTTGCGCCCTTTGCCTTTGGTTGTACTGATCGCCCGTGCTTCCATAACCATCAGTTCTTGCTAGTTGATTGCAATCTAAAGGGATCTGTTGTGCGTAGACTCGACATGCGCCGTTTGCTATGCCTTGTGGGCCATTCAGATCAACGCCAATATAGCACCACAGCTCGCTGCAAAAATCTGACGCCCTTGAATTACGGCTGAAAGTGTCTGGTCTCGCGGTATTTAACCGTTACATGGAATCGCCGAACCGTTAGGCAATGCATAACAGCTGAACTGATGTTCTGGTCCGCCACGCGCGCCATCTATCTCCCGTTAATCCAAGCTGTGTTTCAGGCGGACGAACCGGCTGCTGGAGGCGCGCAACGTTTTTGACACAATCGTCAACAGTCGCATCTTCCGCGAGACGTCGGTTATTCTGTTCCTGAACAAGACGGACCTGCTGCTGGAGCAGGTGCAGCGGCCGGACAATGATGTGGCCGCGCATTTTCCTGAATTCCAGGTGAGCTGTGCTCTAATGCCCAAAGCAATTGATGTTAGGCCATGTACAGCCCAGGTTGTGGTGGTGACTGTCTTTCTGATTCGTGTCTTGATTAGCGCTTCAGTGGCAACGGTTTGTTTCGGTTATTCCAGGCCCGAACTATCGTCCTTCCGAGATGATTTATTGGTGGCTGATGCCAGTTCGTGCAGTGCATGCATGGTGTTGTCTACAGCTGGCTGGTTCTAACCTGTCTGACTGTTCTACCGTACATTATTGTCCTTCTGGTGGTGGACGAGCGTTGGTATCTGTCACGACCCGTTACGGTTCTCTTCGGGCGTATGCTGCGCCCAACAGGGCGCCGTTGGTGGCGCTTCCCTGAGTTACGTTTGCCCAGTCAGGGCGCACAATAGAGAACTGGAGGGGCATTGGTCGACTGCGAACCTGTCACTGGCGTCACTTGCGTTGTGAGTTTCTAACGGTCACGTGCGTGAGACCTCCCAGTCGCGACCTCCCCCCCCCCCCCCCCTGCTTCTTCCGAGGTGACACCCTCGCTCTGTCCCGCAGGGCGATTCGCACAAGCTGGAGGACGTGCAGTCGTTCCTGCTGCAGATGTTCGTGGACGTGCGGCGCGAGCACAAGCTGCCCCTATTCCACCACTTCACCACGGCCATCGACACGGAGAACATCAAGGTGGTGTTCAACGCCGTCAGGGACACGATCCTGCAACGCAACCTCGACACCCTGATGCTGCAGTAGACGCTGATGTAGCTGGCGTTGGCACCCAGGGCGCCTTGCGGCGACGAGGCTGGTGCGTCGTTGAGGTCCCGACGAGTCTGGGCTCTCCCGGGAGTGGCATTCGGTGCGTGGGACCTTCTGGCCTGGCCACGGTACGAGGACTGGTACTCATTCCTTTGCGCTGTGCTTGGCCGTCGTGTCGCCCCGTGGCGTGTTTTTATAATGATGTCGTTTTACATCGGAGGACTGTTGAACGCCGTTGTTGAGGGCAGACTGTCTGATGGTGCTAGTGATTGTGCTACGCATGCGAAGATCTGGGCCCATAGCTGGTAGCGTTGGCGAGGCTCCCCGCCGCCAATGTCGTCGTTTGTACTGCGAAGTTTTATTACTCATGCGACGTCATTGGTCTAACTCCCGATTCTTTGAGGCTGTTTGTACTGCGATGGCTTGTATTCATCGGTCATCGCTGGTTATCCGCCGCGCCTCAACGATATTTTTACTGCCGAGTTTTGCTACTCATGTGACGTCACATGTCCCGTCATGCCAGCCGCGGCCGTACTAGCGGCGCCTTTGTACGGTCTGTTTGTACCGCTCAGTGAGACCTCGGTCGTGCTCCCTCCGCCGGCCTGGCGACGCTGCCGATGTTGTATTTTATCGCGGGGCCCTGTTACTCTTTTTACACCGGCGGCCGGGCTGTTACCGGGCGCGTTTCGCCGGCCGTCGTGCGCCGCTGGTGGTTTCAGCGCCGGCTCCGGACGGCCTGGCGCGATCGAAGGGACCAAACTCGCCTCTCGTGCAGCGTGAACGAGTGCTCGGAACGATGGCTGTAAGCGTGTATCGCATTTGCGTGTGGGGTAATATCTGCGTGTATTGATAATAACTTGTAGCCTAGAGCAGTGCGTGACCGGCCGGCCTTGTCGGCCGAGGCCCGCCCTCGTTAGCAGCGGCCGAGCGCTGCGTGTGGTGACGCGTATCACTCTCACTCTCTCGCTGTTGGTGCGAGGCGCCTGACCGGCGGGCTCGATGTCGGTGCCCGTCTCAACTTGCCTCGTGTATTCACGGTGAGCGCCGAGGGGGGGGGGGGGGGCAACAGCTCGCGGGACAACAGCTGCCTTCTCCGTCATGTATTCGTCGCGCGCGCGAGAGACGGGCTGCTGTTACGTCTGCTGCCAATAAAGCTGCGGAGGCTCGTACACCGGCGTGTGGACGGAGGCTAGACGGAGGAAAGCTCTGATACCGGCATGTGTACGGAAGCCGGACGGAGGAAAGTAGGGCTTTCGCTCGTCGGAAACAGCTAGCAAGGGCAGATGGGATGCGTAACAGCTGTGCGAGGCGAGCAGAGGCGTGCCCTGTACGAGACCAGGGGAGACGTGTCCTGTACAAGGCGTGCAGAGGCGTGTCCTGTACGAGGCCAAGGGAGGCATGCCCTGTACGAGGCGTGCAGAGGCGTGTCCTGTGCGAGGCGAGCGGAGTCGTGTCCTTTGCGAGGCGAGCGGAGTCGTGTCCTGTACGAGGCGTGCAGAGGCGTGTCCTGTGCGAGGCGAGCGGAGGCGTGTCCTGTGCGAGGCGAGCGGAGTCGTGTCTTGCAAGGCGAGCGGAGTCGTGTCCTTTGCGAGGCGTGCAGAGTCGTGTCCTGTACGAGGCGAGCGGAGGTGTGTCCTGTACGAGACCAAGGGAGGCGTGTCCTGTACAAGGCGTGCGGAGGCGTGTGGCGGTGTGCAGCCGGCTGGGGACAGTGATGCGCTCAAACCGCTGTACCAATCGGTTTCCTTCGCGGGACTTTGTAGTTGTGCATGTGCTCGACTTGCCATGCAGTGAGGACGGTTCCAAGCCCTGGTTCGTGACACCCGAGGTCAGCTGTTTATTCACGAATGGTTCAACTGGAGTTGCTACTTATTTCGTCACAGACAGGTGTCTTCCGACAGTTCGGACACGTCGCGTGTACAGACGTTCGTGTGGGACGTGTTACGCCTAACGCCACTGGCAGTAATCTTAGATTCCACTTGCCAACGAAGAACAGGAACCTGTGTGGCCTTAACGTCAACTGGTCGCCCTCAAACGGCTGACGCCTAGCCAAGCGTCCAGCAGCACCGGGATACCGACACCGACAACACTGACAGGAGTGGCCAAGCCTCCGCTGCTCGCTGAGCCGGGCCAGCGCCGACCCAGGACGCCGGACCCGCTGACCGTACACAGCTGCTGCCATGCAGGGAGGGAGGGGGAGGGGGGCAGCGGTCGGGAGCAGGGCGCGTGCAGGGGGAGTGGTGGGGAGGCACGTGAGCACGACTCGGGGAGCAGGTCGTTGTTTGTACGGACTACGCACCAATGAGCTAGACTTTTACCCAATCCTCTGCGAGTGTCTGTCCTTCCAGCTGCGCACAGAGCGCTGACGTGCCGGGAGGATTGTCAAGGCCGTGCCGAGCTTGATTATTTAAATACGACGCGCGGCATCCAACGAACTATTCATACACAATCCGTCGCACTGCGACCACGACCAGTAATAACCGGTTTGCGCTGTGGGCGTGGCTGGGGTCTGCAGCATATCCTGAGCAGCTGGCGGCCCACTCCACCGTGACTGTGTGGCGCTGGCGGCCTGGAGCCATCGCCCCGGACGTGTGCAGGTACTGACGCTGTCGCCGGGAGGGATAGGAGTCGCGTTAACCGTTTGCCAGGGCGCCTGTTTACGCCCAGGCGGCAGGATATCGACCATCCATGGCGGGAGGCCTCCTCGGGGTCATGGCAGGTGCCTTCTACCGTGGCAATGCTCTCCATTACACAAGACGCTTTCTCATCGGGCCATATCGTCGTTCGTGGCGAGACCCTGTGAAAATGAGACGTATTATTGGTTGACGTGGGCCTCCTGCTCTGATTTTTAAAAAAAAAATCGTATGGTGATGCCAGCTGTCACCACGCCCTCCTGGCTGTGACGTCATACTATTCAGTCCTTGCTCGTACTGCGGCGCAGCATGCAACCCTGGTGATGGTGCACGGGCGAACGCTGTCACGGTGACCTGACCCGGGGCCATTTGTGTGAGTACAGAGGGCGTGCTCTGGCCATCCTACACTGTTGGGGGTGTTTCTGCACGTTCATACTGCGCCGGAGCGGAGGCAGTTCTGGTTGGAGCGCTAGGATTCTAAATCGCTTTAAAATTGTGGTCTTCCAATTATTCACGGCTTGATTGGTAGCCGGCCATGATGGATCCTCCTTGCAAGACATGGAATGAGTTTTTACATTATTTTTACCATGCAAAACCACCCATGGGTGGGTCAAGTTACCGGCACTATCAAATCCCAGAACGGTCAGACTCCAAAGGTAGTGTCATTTGCGCAAAAGATAAGCTTAGAGAACGCCGGCTTCTGACTCTGCGCCCGAGTGGCCAGTTGCATACTCCTCGGTCGGGTGGGGGTCAATTTGACGCCCCCCCCCGAGATCTCAGGAAATTTACAGGGTGTCATAGCCTGTACGTGAACTCATTTAGATCACAGTTTGAGGTTCGTAGGTCACGACCTTCGGGTCAAATAAGGTCAAACAAGGTCAAATTCCCGGCTGGTCTCCAAAGGGGCCCCTGAAACCTAGATAACTGTTCTGGGCAAAAGGCTACATGTTCATCTAGGGTCAGTGACCTCGTTTGACCTGTTGATGGTCATGGTGACCAGTCATACAAGACCGTTTTAAGTTTTGCATTTGGAAAGCGACCTATATTACGCTTGGCAGTATGTTCCTAACAACAAAACATTGACATGGGTCATTCTAGGTCAATGACTCATTGTGACCTTTAAAAAGTCTATGGAAGGTGTATACCGTTGCTCTTGCAATCAATAAATTCAAAATATGCACCAGAAACTACCCCATGCAACAAGCCCTAGAGCAATAAGATAGGATGATTTTGACCCCGGTATGACCTTCATTCCTGACCTTATGTCAATGCAGTTGGTTCATTCAATTGTTGTGTTGCCTAAAAAAGCATCTCAGAGATGTATGGCTTCGTATAACACTCCGTTGTTGCATCAGATTGAACGACTCCCTAGAAATTGCCTTCGCTGAAACCATGGCCTGACTTCGACCTGCCATAGATCGGCGGCCTTACAAGGTACATCTAATTTTTTATGTCAGACAGCTCGCTATTCAGTGGGCTACACAAAACTTGTGGATATGTCGCGCCGTTCGGAAACCACTACGGAAAACCATCGGAATGGGGGGGGGGGGGCAGTTTTGACCTCCCACCCGAGCGCGTGTTAATTGCTCGCTGGGACCAGTAGCGTAGCCAGGATTTCGTCAAGGGGGAGAGGAACGCAAAACTGTGGTACTCCCTAGAGTTTGAGCCCGCTTCGAAAAGTCATATCCCGACCATTAAGTTGCAAGATTCGTAGATATGTGATTTTGTACAGGAACCCATCTTACTGAGCTCAGCCCTGAATAACTGGGCGTACTACGCATGCACATACATGGAGCTAGTTCATCTTCTCCAGATCGTGGTGGATCCTGTGGTCAAGTATTTTGGAGAAGACATAGCAAAGTAAACCTTAGTTGGCTGTTAAATGTTGTCAAAATGAAACACGAGCTTGACTCCTATTTACGCCTAGCCGATTAGTCGCTGTGATCAGCTGATGACTGATGGCTAAGGGAGGCTTTTCCTCTGAGTGCTATGAAGGCGTACACAATATCCTAACATTTAATATGGACGAAGAACGTGATGCACAGGTATGAGGGTCGGAAGTTCATGAACTAACGGAAATCACTTACAAAATCGTGGGCGCGTGAACTTGTGCTCGACAATTGCGCGCAAAAAATATCGTCGAGGAAAGAAATGAAAAGACGGCCGACAGGGCAGCGGGTTGCATTCCGACTCACTAGTTCCGCACAGCGAAGCGAAGGCAGTCGTCGGTGTGGCTGGCTCCCAGAATAATCAACTGTCAGCTGAGCGAGGATCGGGCGTCTCGGGGTGACTGCGGCCATCCGAAGCGCAGCCTAGCACAGATCGGTCCTGGCACGTGATTCCTCTGCTTGATCAGAAGAAAGGGGCTTCGGTCCCACAAAAGTCATAGTCGCATATCCGACTGCTGGCCTAAGGGGAAGATACCAAGAGAAATCATTATCCTGTAGTCTCGGACTTGGACGCATGAAGTAATTTAGCCAGGTTCATACCTTACCTTACCTAACCTCATGGTGATCGGGAATTGAAAGAGGCCTGTAGGTCCCGGTCTCGTCAGGCTCCCGGTCCGGTAACCAAACAGTCTCAAATTATGGGAAGATTCAGTCTGGGACGTCGTACATGATGTCAGCCCAGTGCGTATCAAGCCTAGACTTGAACTGTTCAACTGAGGTCGATGCCACGACCGGGTGTGGAAGAGCGTTCCAGTCGTTGACAACCCGCGTGCTGAATGAGTTACGACGGACGATAGTCCTAGCTCGAGGTTTTCTGAGCTTCCATTGGTGTCCTCTCGTCACCTCCGAGTTGTGCCTTGTCAGGAACTCCTCTTCCGATAGCGAATGTCTCCCCTACGACGACGATAGTACAGCGAGGGCAACTGAAGGAGTCTGAGCCTCTCAGGGTATGGCTGGCGCCTCACTTCATAGGCAAGCCGGGTAGCTCGTCGCTGAACCCGTTCCAGCCGTTTCTGGTCCAGTTTGCCGAACGGGCCCCAGATGACGTTGCCATACTCTAAGTACGGACGTACTAAGATCTTAAAAAGCAAAGGCAACGTGCGAGCATCGATATTGGCAAAAGGCCGCCTCACGACCGCCAGCATCTGGTTGGGGCATACACACGAACAGTCGAAACACCCTGGCGCTCGCAAGCATGCGTGGGACTTTCGGAAACGCAGTAAGGTCCTGACTAATGGGAGAGCTCACGGCCAATGTGGAGGTCCCCGGAGCGATCAAGACTGCCTCGGCCGGCACTAGAACTGCAGGGCTCAATGCTATTTAGCGCTTTACCAAGCTCTAAGTACTTCTAACTCACCAAACATGGGTTATGGGGCATCAAAATGATATGCAAAGGCTAGAAATATCCCGCATCCACAAACAGGGCTACAACCATGAAGAAGCCGGCCCCTTCGGTCGAAAGGGCCTGCTTTGCTCTAATCTATCTCCTCCCGATACGAAATCCTGACCCCGCCATTGCCTCCCTCCGTTGATGTCCATCGGCCACCAGGGATGAGTTTCCGATTAAATTAGGGCTTCAACCCCCAAACTTGGCCTCCATCCACGCTGAACTTTGGGAAGAAAGTGGGCGAAGTCTTGGGAGAAACTTGTTCATCATCGCTGTTCGCCTATCTTGGGTCACGTTAGATCATATTTCATTGCTCAGTCCCACTTCCCTCCCTCTTGTGACACCACGTCCTTAATACTTCCATATTAACATCCATCTCTAGTGTTCCAGGAGTGCAGATCCTTCGAAACGTTGGCAAATCCGTCCTTGCGAAATATGGTGAAAGCATCGACGAGGGCCATCTGACCCGCGCATTTTAATTTACATCACATGATTTTTCACACGAAAACTCTAATGCTGCGCAACAGGTAGAAATCCGGCGCCAAGAGCTGCAAATCAGAGCTGCAAAGCTATCTGCAAATCAAGGCTGTCTTACGGAGAGCCTTGAGCATTCGCTCGCTTGAGCTTGAGGAGAGGGGTCAGTGTCCGATGGAAATGGAGAGCTGTTAATTGTTGTGGATTTGAGCACATGATTGACTCCGCGAAACTCGTGTAACGGCCAAGTTGGTCGAGCCGCTGTCCGTAATTTATTTCTCATGTCTGTAACAGATATGGGCTGCTAATAGCACATGTTATATGATAATTAATTAGACACTGAGTTAGGTTACTGACCAGCGTCTCAACGGGCACTGAAGGTAACGTTATTCCGCCATCATCTAGGATGCCCAGTGGCTTTAAGCATTGGTGTGGTGCAAAATGATGAGTATGCATACCTGATGGTAAACAAAGAGCCAGAAGTAATGAACAGATTGGTTTAAGTTAAGGCTTCTTAAAACTGTTACAAATATGTGTCAAGTCTTGGCCATGCTATGCTTTGAAAGGGAATGTTTTTTGTGTGAGGGTTAAAGTTTTGGGAATTGGTCTTTTTAATGAGAAAATTTGCATACCTTTCCTCTCTCTTGACTCAAGCAGAGTTTGTCTGAGTTTTTTGGATGAGGAGCATTTCACAAGGGTCCAGGTGGCCCTGAATGTGTATGAAACAGAACCTTGTCAGGCTCTTTATTTCCTGAATATTTTGGTTCTGACCAATACAACCTGCATGTTTTTCCAAATTCCCATTGCTAAGTTGTGATTAATATACAAATCTGGAGGTGAACTTGGTAAGGATATATTTGCTATGTTTTTATTGAATTTACAATCCTGTTTCAGCATACCATGCCATATTTTCCCAAACTTTTGTATGCTAATTACAGACAAAGTATACTTTCAGCATGCCCTATACTCACTAACCAGGCACTACTGCAGCCACACCATGCACAATGTGCTTTTACAGGGTAAGATTTTTTTGATGAGCACCAGGATGACATATAATGTCTTTTTCCTTAGAAGGCTTACAATTTCCCTAAGCTAACCTTATAGCAGCTTGACCTCACCCCACCCCTTCTCATACTCATGCTTCTCCCCTGCCCTTACCCCTATCCACGCTTCTACCCCTACCCTTACTCCTACTCCTAAACCTATCCTGGCCCCTACTATACTACTCCTTTTTCTTGCTGCTGCAGCACAGGTCCATGCTCAGCTGACTTATTAACTGCCCAGCTAACTTGCCTGCTGATCAATAATCAGCACCAGATTGTGACAGTGGTGTGCTGTTGCACACCACTGTCACAATCTTGAGCACCATTGTTGGTATGAAATCATGACTATTTTACTGTGAAGTGTGAACTGGCACAACTACTGTTTTCCAATGCTGGCTGGTATGTTGCAGTCTAGATAAGTATTTTGAAGTCATGGTTTAAGGATTGTGACATTCTGGAATGTGGTGTGAGTTTTACTTAATGCCCATAGCATTGACAAGGTGCAAGTGATATGCTACTATTATGGAGGCTTCAGACTAGTCTGAATCAATCAGTTTCTTATTGTAACACCACATTATGGAAACATGCTGATCATTTATGAACAATTGTTGCTAATTTTGGCTATCAGCCTGCTTACTACCCTTAAAATTTGGTCGTGTTTCAAATTACTGAGGAAACTGTGATGCGTGGCACTTAACCAGATTGTATTGATATAATTTTTGTGCAATTTCTCAAAACTGATCCCATTAGCAGAAGGCTGTTTGTAGTTATATTGACTTCTGGGTTCCTTGCATGTGTCTGAGCCATGTTATCACAGACTGAATCGCAACATTTCAGATAAACTCAACATGAGGACAATGTGGGCAGCAGGAATGATGAGAAGGTGGATGCATTCTTCACCATATCAAGGTAAGTGATGCAGACACAAAGCTTGAATGTGATTTTCAATCTTGTTTTCAATCTTCAATCAGTCATCAAAGTTGCAAGTGTTTCATCAAAGGTGTTTAAGTACATGACACAGTACTAGGCTACTTGTACTGTGTGAGTAAGAGCCAATTTTGCACTGCGTCAATCTGACTTGCCAATGCACAGTGTTGTTTCAGTGCAAGTAGTCCACACTCACCAGACAGGGCTGGATGATTCATTTTTATACAAAAGGTTAATGTAAGTTAGATACCCCTGTACCTTGATGTGGTTTTGATCATTACCAGGGTAAAGGTATTTGTGTGTTCTGGACACAAATTGATTGCAGTCTCCATGTATCTATGTGACCTACATGTGATGGTTTTTGTCTTGAGATCTATTGGAATCTCGATGAAGCTAGGTATGCAACATGCATGCATTTGTGTTCTTGAGAGTGATTTCCTTTAGCCTGGCACCACATTTGTGTTATGATATTTGACAGTGACACTGCACTACCAATCATGATGCCATTAAAGCCATCAGTTTTGACACTGACAAGGCAGACATCACACTGTTTGACACTGGCCCTAGTGGGCTGTACTTAACATTAACAATGCACACCTCTTGTGTATGACAGTGACACCCCCCAAACCATCACATGACACTGACACTGCCAGCCAGTGTCGTCACGCTGACCTGCAGCTGCTGTGCCCCCAGTGCGTGGCGTGGCCTCACTGGTGCCGGGCGAGCCGACTGGCCCTGCCATGGTGACAGCTGTGCCGGGGCCGCGCAGCCAGCAGCTGCTGAAGGAGCTCGACCAGATCCAGGTGTGTCCCAGCCGGCCTCCGGCGGTGTGCAATACCGCGCCCGTCGTGTGACGCCGGCCCTGCCGTCGCGCGCCGGCGCGGGCGGCGCCCGGTCCTGCTCCGCGACCACCGGTCCGGTCGTGGTCCGACTTCGGCGAGCAGTGCCTCCCGGCGCACGCAGCGGGCTGGAGGTCGCTGCCGACGCTCGCCACACGCCCGGCTGCAACGGCGCGGGAGTCGCACCGCCTGCGGCTCTTCCTCCCACCGTCAGCCGGTGGCGACCCGCCCGCCCTCGGACGGGATGGCAGCGGCTCGGACGCCATGTTCTTCCACGGCAGGGCGGCCAGTTCACGTGATCGCCCACTGCCCGCAGGCGTCAGGCAGCGTGCAGTTCTTCGTCGACTACGAGCGCTCGCTGGGCAACTACGTGGTGGACGTCGACGGCAACGTGATGCTGGACGTCTTCATGCAGATCGCCTCGCTCCCCATTGGCTACAATCACCCGCGCCTGGTGCAGGCTGCCGCCTCCAAACAGATGATGGTGAGGCCAGTATGCCAGGTGACTGGAGGTCGGATGCAGAGGTCGCCGATTCGAGATTGGCTGCGGGATCTGTGCGTGTGTAAGTTATAATATGTGTTGCACCTACTCTGAGCTTCAGATTACTTTCTCGAAATTGTTTTCATTACTCCGGTTACGTTTCTTATAGGTTTGAGCTGGAGTGTGTGTGTGTGTGTTTGAGTGGCGCTTCAGTCATGTTTCAGCGGCATTCTATGACGCGTTTCAGCTCGAGTGCCAGCGTGTTTGAGTGGCGCTTCAGCCATGTTTCAGCGGCGTTCTGTGGCGCGTCTCAGCTGGAGTGTCTGCGTGCTTGAGCGGCGCTTCAGCGATGCTTGAGCCGCGTTCCGTCGCGCGTTTCAGCTGGCGTCCGTGAACCGGCCGGCGCTCGGCTCCTTCCCCGACGCGGAATGGCCCTTGAAACTGCGGTCGGCTCTGCTTTCGGTACGTGCCCGCCGTCACGTGACGTGACGCGCCCGCCGGAGCCGACCGGCGGTCGTCCAACCCGGGATGATGGTCTGGCTACTCTTAGATCATGTTCATGTCGTACTTATATCAAGCGACGGAAAAAGATTCAGACAACGATATTACGTGACGTCACGTATCATCTGTGTCGTCCGGGTCGATGTGAACACCAAAATGCTATCTGTGGTTATGGTGTGACGTCATGAATGACGTGGACGGTGTAGAGTGTCGTCCGGATGGCCGCGAACATACCACAGCGCTGCGTTCAGATAGCCGTGCTCATCTCGGCTTTTGTAGCAGGTGCAGTCGTGCCGGTGACGGATGCATCCATTTCCATGTATTGGAGACCTTCTGGTGTTTGTATGACCGTTGCAAGTGGCTGGTGTTGTCGGTTCCCGCAGGTGGCACCCAAAGGCATGCCAAACGTGCAGACAATGGCTTGTGGATCGTGCAGTAACGAAAATGCCTACAAAGCCATGTTTATGACTTATAGGTAAGGCTGATGTTTCCCGTGTATCGAATCTGTTTCACTTATCTGGCTTTTATCGTATCCTGTTCAGATCTAACGACTTAAGTTCTCGAGTGTGAATGAGTTCTTGAACATCCACATTTGTATTTGCCACCTCGTGAACGTAATAAAGACGTCTGCTTTGTGCGATAGTTTCATTCGCCCGGAATTCAAGGATCGCCTCGACCCGCGCGCCTCCCTTGGGAGTAGAACGACGGTTTTGAAAGCATTGAATCCGTACAATATGCAACTTAAACGAACTACATGAAATGCTTTCTGCAGCAATCGATGGTCTCTACGTTAAACTCCAACAACCGTAGTGGCGTTAGAAGCCCGTGGTCCGTGTCCCCCAGCACGACAGTCTCCCCGCCCGGCCCCATCCCCCTCTGCTGACGCCCCCCCCCCGCGTCCCTCTGCAGGAACAGGCAGCGCGGCAGCACGGACTTGCCACCGGCCGAGGACATGCAGTCGTGCATGATGAACCGAGCGCCGGGCAGCCCGCCACTATCGGTGCTCTCGTTCACGCACGCCTTCCACGGCCGCACCCTGGGCTCCCTCTCCACCACGCGCTCCAAGCCCTTGCATAAGGTGGACATTCCGGCGCTGGACTGGCCGGTGGCGCCGTTCCCTGCCTACCAGTACCCGCTGGAGGAGCATGAGGCCGAAAACCGGACTGAGGATGCGCGCTGCCTGCAGCAGGTGAATAGGGTGGAAGACAGGTGGGGCCGAGTGAGCAGTTTGGTTGTTGCAGTTCGGCTGAGTGGCATGCTTGTCAATTTGGCGTGTGTTTTGTGTTATATGGCTGCTCAGATATCTCACTTGCTGTTAAAACGCTCACCTGATGACCAGTCACAGCGACAAAGTCGTTGACCTAACCCGTGCTTTGTTAGGGGGGGGGGGGGGGAGGGACGGGTGTGAATCGCCTTTACATACCGCAAGCGTATTTCCCATTCTCAGGGCCACCTGACCAAACATGGCCATTGAAATCGAGTCTGCCGCGCGCTGGGCCCGCCAACCGCTACCCGGCCCCAGGAGGTCCCCTGGCACGCATCAGACAGTGCGCAACATCAGTCGGCCCGGGGTCGCTTTGAATGGGTTGACGGGCGTCACCGAGCCAGAACTGGCGCCGCGCTACATTGGAGGTGGTCTGGGGCCTGTTTCGGACGTGGGCAACAAAACGGATGCATATCTGTGCCAGGCAACCGATGGCGGTGATCTGCAGTAAGGTCAGGGTGTCTGTGAGAACAGGCGTGTGACGGCAGAGAGGAAGATCTCGTTCACTTGACTGTGTCGGCGCCCTGCACGTGGTGTCGCGTGCACACCAACCCAGAGCCGCCTCGGCACTCTCCACCTGCCTGCCCGCCGTCCACGCGCATAGTCGCGCTGACCCCGGCCGACCGTCAAGGCCTTCTGCGGCCTCCCGCAGACGGGCCGCCGGCCCAGCCGGGGTGCAGACAAGCGACGCAGACATAGTTGCATTCTGCAGATATACCCCAGAAGTGGCGCGAGGTTGGTACATGTAGTAGCCAGTTTTGGTTGGGACTCCCAAGGTTGTCGTTTGGCGTGTGTCTGTGCGTGTGTGCATGTTTTCTAGGGTTGGCAGTTGTGTGAAGGCCGGCAAACGCTTGGGGAGAGTGGCTCCGTTCAGACTCCGCCCGTCAGTCAGTGCTGTCCTCGGGCTGGTGTAGTTTATGCTGGTCTTCCTGTCTGGCGTGGCCCGGGCTGCAGTGCCGTGGTGTGCGCTGGCTGGTGACGCTGGGCTGTCGCTCCGCCAGGTGGAGGAGGTGGTCGAGCAGTACAACCGGGCCGGCAAGTGGGTGGCCGGCATGGTGGTGGAGCCCATACAGGCGGAGGGTGGCGATAACCACGGCTCGCCCACGTTCTTCCGCGGACTGCAGGCGCTTGCCAAGAAGGTCGGTCAGGGGCCGCACGTCCAATGGCCCAAGGTCAAATGTAAACAACCGGACACTGGTCAGCCTCAGGTCAGACACGGACTGGGCACTGGCTGACCTGAGGTCAGACACGGACTGGACACCGGCCGTCCGGAGGTCGGACATGGACTGGGCACCGGCAGATCTGGGGTCAGACACCAATCAGACACTGGCTTTCCTGAAGTCCGACACGGCCTGGGAACCGGCTGATCCGAGGTCAGACGCGGACCTGACACTGGCCGACCTGAGGTCAGACGCGGACTGGACATCGGCTGACCTGAGGTCAGACATGGACTGGGCACCGGCTGGCCTGAGGTCAGACACAGACTGGTCACCGGCCCACCTGAGGACAGATACCGATCAGACACCGGCCGACCTGAGGTCAGGCACGGACCTGACACCAGCGAACCTGGGATCAGATACGGACCGGGCACCAGCCGACCTGAGGTCAAGTACAGATCAGACACCGGGTGACTTGAGGCCAGATACCGATCAGAAGGCGGTCGACGTAAAGGCTGTAGTCCTGGTCCGAGATTGTGCTGTGATCCATGCTCAGTATGTTCGTTCCCAGCAGCACCCGGGAACGAATCCTAAATGATTCATTACTTGTGCTACCTTTCCGGTTGTAACATGCAACACAACGAAACGCGCGCGTCCAATGATAGTCTTATTATCTCCGCCATTGTTGGTGCACACAATGCATTTGTGGTCTATATCAGCAGACGCCGGGCGAGGCGAAGAGTGCGCTCCGTCAGTTTTGCACGTGCCGTGTGTCTGGAGGCTCGTCATGCTACCGCATTGCTGTATTTTTAAGAATCACGTGAGCGTAAACCCCATATGCCGTGAAGAGGACGCATTGTATGTCAGGATAGCACCTCCGCAACCCAGTACTTCGAACGTGACGAAAGACAACATTTGTGGTTTGACTGTATGTGAAGGTCCTGGAATCACTTGAGTAAACGCTGGACATAGTGCTCCCTACCAGCCAATGGAACCTTAGCACCGGGGGCATGTGTTCCGTTATTCCTTTGCGCACCGAAAATGAAATCGATCCCACGTATTTTAGTGAAAACCTTCAGATGCTGTCTCAGCATTTGCCTCTTTTGTTATCTTCACCCACCCGGCCAACGTGGTATTTGTGGTTTTCATGATGTAGGAATGGGGGGGGGGGGGGGGGCAGATTTAGGTCGTCATTCCAGTGAAAAGGGCTCTCGGCAGCGATTCGTGACCAAATGCATGCCATATGATTAAACTCTTCCGGTGCGCACTTGAAACTTGTTGCGCGAAATGTTGATGAACTTGCGTAATAATCCGGAGTTGCAAACACCTGGCGATCCGAACCTGGAAAGCTGCGTTCTGCAAATCGACACTCAAACCTGTCACGGAGCGTTCGCAGCCGCAGTGGCACCCAGCGTCCGGTGGCACGGCGCGGTGCTTCAGCCCGAAATCGAAGCCCCCAAACTTGCTTCGAAGCGTTCGCAGCCGCAGTGCCACCCAGAGTCCGGTACTTAAGCCCGAAATGGAAGCCCCCCACAGCCACCACGTGCGAGCCCACGCCGCCACCAAACCGCACCACACACCTGAGATCATGCACTGGCCGGAAAACGGCTTAAACTGGGAAAAGCAAAACAGAGCAAGGTCTATCTGACACCCGGAGACGCGACACCGCCCGTCCTGACGCCGGCGCAGCCAAAGCCACCCACATCACTGGCACTGGGAGACAACCGCTGACCCGGCGCGGCTAAAGCCACTCACATCACTGGCACCGGGAGACATCCGCTGGCCCGGCGCGGCTAAAGCCACCCACATCACTGGCACCGGGAAACAACCGCTGGCCCGGCGCGGCTAAAGCTTCCCACATCACTGGCACCGGGAGACAACCGCTGGCCCGGCGCAGCTAAAGCCACCCACGTCACCGGCACCGGGAGACATCCGCTGACCCGGCGCAGCTAAAGCCACCCACATCACTGGCACCGGGAGACGACCGCTGGCCCGGCGCGGCTAAAGCCACCCACATCACTGGCACCGGGAGACGACCGCTGGCCCGGCGCGGCTAAAGCCACCCACATCACTGGCACCGGGAGACATCCGCTGGCCCGGCGCCAGACGCAGACCAGACGTCAGATGACATGACACCGCCTGACACTGCGTGACCTGACATCTGCAGTCACGTGAAATGGAGCGCTGAGGCGGTGTGATATCTGAAACGGGCCTGACACGGGCTAACACTGACCTGACAACAACTGGCCGGAAGTCGGTCTCGGCCCTGGTCTGTCGCTCTCTGCCTCTCCGCCCTGTCGGTCTGTGCCCTGGTCAGTCACCCTCTGCCTCTCCGCCCTGTCGGTCTCTGTTCTGGTCAGTCATTCTCTGCTTCTCTGACCTGTCGGTCTCGACTCCTCCTGCCTGGTGGTGTGCTTAAAGGGCTGACGCTTGGTATCACCTGCGATCTCGTAGCTGCTGCAATGGCTGAGTGCCAATTAAGCCCCCGCATTGCTGTATTCTGGATAGTGATGCTGTGACGTCATCATGGGTTTTAATAATATGACACCAAGGCTACGGCGGCGTGGAAACTCTGTTTTTTGTGGGCTGGTTTCAATATAATTAGTTTGATAAACCGGATTGTGTCGACCTAGCACATTCAATGAAGCATTTCTAGCTAGGAAATGGTGTTGATTTGCACCAGAGCTGCAAAATCATTGCTGAAAGATGGTTCCAATCTGCACCCGACGGCGAGATGGGGTAGCCTATTTATCACTGATGTATTCCTTTGAACTCCAACCGTAAGGTCTAAGAAACAGTCTGTGTAAAATAATACAGCATGCAACAACGTAGAGATCAACATACAACAACATAAATATCAGAAACGGTGTCCCAGACGGGCTCGCAGCACCGTGGGGCGCGCACTGAGAAACTGTAATGCACGTTCTGCAGCCTTAGGAGGGATGTTGCCAGGGTGGATGCAGAGTTGGCTTGCCTTAATGGGGGTAGTGAGGGTCGAACCCCGGGAGGCGTAAATGCAAAGCGCCATTTCAGTTCAAGGTAGCAAATTTTCCTGTAAAATGGGACGATTTCTGGCAAGTTTTGCAGTTTCTGCCAGTCAGAATGGTGGCCCATATTTCAGCTGGGAAATAGTCAAGGGATATATAAGGGTAGTCGGGTATTATGCTTTGCATATCTTGTTCACCTAACCCATCCGACATTATGGATCTGCAAGTTAACCAACGACTAGGAATATCATGTTATTGTAAAAACCAAATTTTTGGCACCTGCCCTCCTCACATTACCTTGTTTTCACATTTCACTCCATATAGGTACTGCCTTGCGACGACAAATGGACAGTTATTATCCATTTACAAATTGAATGTAAGCATTACACATGATATCCCTGTATTTCCAACTGAATGTACATTTCACCAAGAGACATGACAGAGTTTCAGGCACGTTGACTGCAACCAATGTGGCGCGGGTACTGAACCTAGAAGTCGTGGTTTAATAGGGCTAATTTTTGGAAGCAGACCGCAGTATTCATTGGGCGTTAGGTTTTAAGTGCAAGATGCACAATATCTATTCACATAACATTGGAATAAAGACGTAGAACAGGATTCCTACCCAGTTCATTGGCGAAATCTCCGTTCGTGGTCATGTTACTGATATGCGCCAACCTTTGCCCAGTATCAATAAAAACCACACTACGGGTTGCCAGACTTTTGTCCGATGGTGACGTCACGTCTGCGCAGCCTTCTCAAGAAGCTTTGGGTGCCAGGCATGACCTAGATAGGAGTTGCAGTGTCTTCATTTCGTGCAAGTTTTCGCAGAGTTGTTATTTTTCCTTCCCTCGTGCTCAACTCACCTCGCATTTTGCGATATGTATTTGCGGCATGTCTTACATGCGGTTTTGTAGGAGAGAAAATTATTTTGTCCGTACGCCCCTTATCTGAAATCCATCATAAGCACTACCTTGGCTTTGCTTCAGCAATGAAAGAAATTTGAATGGAATGCATTTAGAAGATTATATACAGAGGAAAAACGTTTGTTTGCAAGACATCGTTTGAATGCAATGCTTTTGTCGCGTCGTAAGTCGTCACCTTCGTTTTCTCGTGCCTGCAAGTGTACACACACAGCCTGCACGGCATGGCCGAGAGCTTTAGGAAATCCAGCGATGCTTACTACGCAGGACGGTCGGCGAGGATGCCTGAAAGCTCGAGCGACAGCTGTGTTATACAGCGTCACTGGTCCACGGCCCGCCAACGTCGATAGCGGTGCCATTATCAGGGGGTTTCCTTCGCATTGTCCGTTTTCGTTGGCGGCTCGTCCGTTGTCGTTGGCGGCTCGAAGGACAACGAGGACAACGGGCGCAGGGCTTACGGTGTGTGCTGCGGGGCCTCTCGCGGCTGCGAGCCCGGCGTCGGCCGACCTTGCTTCACCATGATTACTTGACACTGGCGTTGTGGTCGGAGGCGGAGCCGAAATCGGTGTCGCTACTGGCGCCATCAGGTGTGGCATCTGGGCTCTCACCCCATGCCAGCTGCCGCTTCCTCTTGAATATGTAGGCCGCTGCGCCGCCAGCAGCGATGAGGAGCGCCAGCAGCGTCAGACCCACTCCCAGACCGACGCCGGCGCTGTAGCTTGACATGCGGGATGCGCACCGTTCAGTATCGTCACCGCTGTCATAGCCGTTGCCACTGGGCGGTGTCTTCACCGTGAGCACTTCGTCAGGTTTGGGGGCGAAGACGACGTCCAGGTGCAACTGCATCAGTGCGATGGTGACCCTGGGATCGGTGTAGATGCGACCGATGTGGCTGTGGTAAATCATGTCCAGGTGGTTGCTCCTGCTGTTAAACATGGGTCCGTCAGGCTCGTTGTTGGCCACGGATGACAGGCACTCGGTCCTCAGCTGGCCCTTTTTCGAAAGGCCCCAGAACAGATTGATCTGGCAGTCCATAAAGTGGATGTTTCTTATGATGAAGAAGGCGGATTGTCGACTTAAAAAGAAGCGGCTCTTGTACGCGCTCTGTTTTATGTTTATTGACACCTGTGTTGTGGGGTCACCGTCAGCTATCACCGTGAAGAACTGAAAATATTTAAAGTTGTCCAATACTGCATCACCCCTGTCCGGCACAAACGTCTTGGTTCCCAGATAAATCTTCTGGGACTTCCTCACATCGATCATCACCTTTGCTTTGGCTAGAATGGGGTATGTAGGCCCTGCTTTCGTGTCGCAGGTTTCACCTGTATATTCCCTCGGGCATTGACACGTGCAGTCTTTAGTTAAGAAGCCCATGTTTGTGCACTTTGGCACGTGTTTTCCGTTAAATCTACAAGACGCAGCCCAGAGTTTATCGCAGCCGTACACCGTGTTCAGGGCGTACATGTCGTAATGCGACTGCGCCATACCCGCGTTGCGGTGGTAGTCGAGCATGTACTGGTAGTGCCCGTCAAGA